AGAAGCTAGTTACCTTCGACCATCGGCGCCTACACAGTTTGGCTCAAATCTAGTGGGAACACCGCGTGAGTAACGAGCGTGTTCGACGTCTTGTTTAGGGCACAGGAAAAGGAACTGAACCCCTCAGCACCGTCATTTCGCGCACCAGGCTCCGATGGCCCGTCCACGTGTTGCGCATGCCAGCCCACCGACTTTCGCGACGTGCGTTGTTTGCTCACCGGGGATGTGGATGGAAGAAGAGGAGGGGTGACCAAGCGATGACTTGGTCGAGAGGAATGAAGGCCTCACTTCAGAGCTGGCATCGGTTGGAGCTTCACGGCTCCCTGGTTGGAGTCTAAAGGACGGTGGACACGTTTGGCTAGATACACTTGTTGATATGGCTAGGAGCCGACCTCAGTGACGTTCCTCGTGTGAGTTTCTTTGTCCCTCCCCATCCCTTTTAGCCGCCCCCTCCAACCACGATCTCGTTTCATAGCGTGATCTAATTTTACATAATAATTTTTCTTTTTGCGTAATAGCCAGCTGATAGCTTTCCAGAACGATGCCCATCCGTTGCTGGTAGCTCAGCTGGCATGCAACTGTGTTATTTATTTTCTTTTATGTATTGCGGCACAGTATCTGAGGTGCTTTACACCTCTAGCTAACGTGCCTAATGATGACGATGCTGCTGCTGCTGCTGATGATGACGACGACGATGATGATGATGGGTAGCTTGCGAAGAATGATGGATACCAGAATCTTGCAAATGACGGGAACCAAATTTACGCTCCTGTGATTGGAGCAATTTGTGCGCAGGCCCTTTCTGAAGATGGGGACGACCATCTACTCACTCCAGGATGATGGAACCTCCTTTTTTGCCCAGACTCGTCATCATCACCAGTTCACCTTAGCTGAGGGTGAGAAACACACCTCAGCTTATGTGTCCCAATACAAAAGGCCAATAGACTAAAATATTACATTGTAAAATATGAGGTTAACTATTATATTATGCGTTTTGAATGAGATCGGGACTGGACGGAGAACCTAAAAGGAAGGGGATGGACAAATAAACTCACAGCACGAACGCCATTGGGGCCGGATCCTAGCCATATCTGCAAGTGTGTGCAACCAAATGTCTTCATCGTCCTTAGAACCCCAACCAGTCAGTCGGGATGCACCAACCGACGCCAGTTTCGAAGTGAGGGTATTCATTCCTCTCGACCAAGTCATCGCTTGGCCTCCCCTCCTTCCCTTCCAACCGCACCCCCGGCGCGCAAGCAATGCACATCGCGGCAGTCGGTGTGCTGGCATGCATAACATGTGGCCCAACCATCGGAGCCTGGTGCTTGATATCATGGTGCTGAGCGGTTCACTCGCTTTTCCTGCACCAAATACGCGACGCCGAACACGCCATTTCTCACGCGGTGCTCCCACCAGACATGTGCTAAGTTGCGAAGGCAGCGATGATCGAATGTGACGAGCCTCTTTATGTCTGTCGACCTGATGGGCCAGGTTTCACAACCATATAGGAGAGTTGAACGGACGGCTGCCTTAGAAACTCTACCCTTGAGGGCGAGAGTAATGTCGCGTCTGCGCCACAGGTGGCGGAGATTGGCAAAAGCACCTCGAGCTTTTGCTATACGCTTCGTAACCTCATCATCGATCCCATAGGCGCTAATATAGCTGTGCAGGTACTTGAATTCCTGAACGACTTCTAGCAGATCACCACCAAACGTTAGCGCATCGTTGGGTCCCTGCCAATCTTGGAGATGTACTTTGCATTTCGATGGAGCAAAGCATAGCCCAAAACGATTGACAGCCAGTGCTAATCGGTCCAGTGCTGATTGGCATGTTTGGGAGCTCTCACAGATTAGGGCAATATCGTCTGCATACTCCAAGTCAAGAAGTCGCTCACCAGGAAGTCGCTCCACACATTCTAGGTCGTGTCCAGCGAATGCTTTTTTAATGACTTCTTCAATTGTGAAGTTAAATAGGAAAGGTGACAGCGGGCGACTTTGTCTCACACCGCTGGTGATACTGACGGGCGGTGACAGTTTGCCATAAACCCTCACTCTGCCCGAACTATGCGGGTACAGCACTTTGACAATGTTTACGTATGTATCAGGCACGTCTTACTTCAGCAGACATTCCTAAAGGGCACATCAATCGACTGAATCGAAGGCACTTTTATATCAAGAAACACGACAACTGTGGGTTGCCAGCAAACATGGCGGTGCTCCAACAATTGAGACAGGGTGAAGATGTGGTCGATGCAGCCCCGACCTCGAGGAAACCTGGTTCGCACCTCGTGCATCTGGCTTTCACAAGTGCCAGTCAGTCTGGGCAGAACGACAGATGCAAGCAATTTGAAGGCAATTGAGATCAGACTGATCCCTCTATGACTACCACAATCGGAACAGCAGCCTCCCTTGAAAATTGGGACAATGACGGAGTGGCTCCAGTCTGTCGGGGCAGTCTCTTGCTCCCAAAGTTTCACTAGCAACTCGTGAAAATTATCTACAGAGCATATCTCCCGAATTTGAAGAGGGCTGGGGGAATTCTATCTGCCCCTGTGGCCTTATGCAATTTCAACAGCCTGATCTCATGTTCGACTTCTGCGCGTGAGGACGCATCGAAGGAGACGGCCCAGAGAGAAGGGCGCACAATGTCCGAAGAAGAAAGCGATAACTCAGGTTGGCTAAATTGCCTTTCAAAGTGTTCGGACCAACGCTCCAAGCGTTTTGACCTACTGTGGATCGGCTGTCCACTCTCGTCGCGGATGGTCTCGCTAACACCAGCTCTCCTGCTGCCTGTTTCCTGTATCAGACACAATAAGTTTCGATGATTACAAACAGAAACGGCTGTTTCCATCTCCGATGCACAATGAGACCACCAGGTTTCACGGCCTTTCTTCAGGGTAGCACTTAGTTTTGCCCTTAGATTTTGGCGACCCCCATTGTATTCGCTTCCAACCGAAGTACGTCGGCGAGCATCCAAAAGTTCCAGAGACTGTGTAGAGACCCAATGTCCAGTTTCGCAAGTTGATTTACCACATGAAGACATGCCTGCTGATAGTAACGTTTGACGAATATGGGACCAGTGATCATCGACGATGTTCAGTCGGCGTTTATTCAGCTAGAACGCTTGCGTACTTTGATACACATTCAAAACACCTGGCTTCGTCAGCTGGCTTGTGTCAATCCGTTCACATTGACATTGCGGACGTCCACCGAAACGCACCCAGAGGTTGGCGCCCACAAGTGCGTAGTCAGAGTCCACTCTCGTGCTCCAAGTCGAGCGACAGTTTTGGACACAATCTCTCTAGCGGTAACTGGTCGCGATATGATCGATTTGCGTCCATGGCTGGCCCGGGACTGGTGGGCGCCAGGTCATGCTTCTGCGGGTGCTGTGTCGAAAGTTTATGCTCGTGAGAAAATGACGAGCATCTTCACACAGCTGTAGCAATCGCTCACCGTTATCATTACGGAGCCTACACCATGTTGGCCGCCCAGATGAAGCTCATCAGAGGACAATTTTCCGACTTGGGCGTTTAGATCGCCAGCCAACACCACAGTATCCGCGCTTCTTCTGTAAAGAAGGAGATCGTTAAGTTGGTGATAGAAATCATCTTTCACCGAATCAGTGCTAGGGGTGTATTGCGCAATGATAATTAGGCACTGTTTGTCCCCGCGTGACTTCGTAGCATAGAAGGAACCAGCTAATCTAACGGCGCGCATCCGACTGTTAACTGGGATTCAATCGATCAAGGCAGCTTCAGCCCGCGATCTCAGAACTATGCTGATTTGGCTTTACCGGCATTTTAAGTTACATCATCGCCAGACAGGCGCAATGAAAATGTGCCGTTAGTGTCGCAAGTGGGGAATCGCAGGGTAAGCACGAAGCTCGAATCTTGCAAGCGGTTTTCTGACAAACAACCAATATCGATCGATAGGGTCTCTATTGTACTGACAAGTGCTACCTGTTAGCCAATGTGTAGCAAAGTGCGCACGTTGAGGTATGCCAGTCTTAACGAGGATCAAGGACTCCAAAGGGAAACGGATGAACCTGGCGTTGTCCACTTCGTCGAACATGGACTTGTCGACTGGATTAGAGCGATGCCCTGCTACTGTGTGTGATTTGAAACTAGAAGACAAGCGACTATTGAAGCAATGTGGCGGAGGGCCAAGAATTGGGGGATTGAAAATGGGGGGATATAAGTAAAGTTGGAACGGGACGATAAGGATGAAGAAGCGCAAGAGGGGGGATGATAAGACGGGAAGACCTGAACTGTAGCATGCAAACCCCTATGCACCCTGCTCGATGTGGCAGATAGGGCGCCGTTGATTATCCTCTGCGATGGCGAGAGCAATGCAATGAACCTTTCTCCTAACAATTTTATGATAGGCTACGCGATTGGAGAATCTGACTTTCCAATAATCACATATTCACACGGGGCCATGTGTAAACTTAGAAGCCCATGGGCTGCGAAAAGATAGATGGGGAGACAGGGGATACTCAGTCGCCGCCTTTGATCGAGGCGATCGAGTTTCACGATCAAGAAAAGAGTTTGCAGTGACCCCCTTCTGGTCACACAATTCGGTTGCATTAGCGTGACTACAGTGTGGTCTGAACATCGTCTAGTCGCATTGCTGATTTTTTGCCTAAAATCCAATGTGTCCAAAGTGGTTTACAAAACTACCAATTTGGTTTGAATATATATATATATATATATATATATATATATATATATATATATATATATATAGCTGGCAACTCAAGTGACTGGACCGAATTGTTCATTTTACAGAGGTCTGAATCTATAATTTTTTCATGGTCAGCGTACCAACAATGAAAAAGCGGCCAACTTAGAGGTGGCCAGGATAGAGATATGGTTAACTTCGGAGTTTTACTGTCCAAATCAAGGAGCTTAAGGACCAAATCTGATCCTTCATTACTTCTCATTCTTGCATTCACCGTCGTCTGATCATGCGGTCTTGTTGTCTGTCCTTATTTCCATGCAGGGTCCCGCCGTGGGCGATCTTGGAGCCGTCCTTACTCTGTCCAAGCCGGAACATTTTGTTAACGGAGAACAACAGGATGCATCGGAGTACCTTAATCACCTGCTGGACCGATTGCACGAAGAGGAGTTGGGGCTAAACAATTCACGTAGCATCAGGTTTGAACCAATTTTCGCTGCTATTTTTACGAAGTGCCACTTGCTCAATTTCATTTATTTTCTATTATGGTATTTGCTGCATAGCACCTTTGTTCAGATACTCCTACCTTGGTGTTGTTGTTCCGACACTTGACATTTGGACAACATACTCTGTCTTTAGAGCGCTCACTGACATTTTCACACTTCACTTCTCGGATCATCGCCCTACCTTTTTGTGACATGAGAAGTCGTTCAATGACTCAGGTGACGAGTATCACCCTCCTGCGTTCGGTTTATAACTGAGCAGGGTTTACGTCATTTTGTGTTTTTATTCCAGCTTATCATATACATACGATGCTACGTCCCAACAGTTGATATCAGTCTTTGCGTATGATCATTTACGTGGTTTCATTTTGCTCTTGTCCTTGATGGCGCAACAAAGTGTGATCTGTACTCCAGCTGATTTCTCTCAATAGCGTTTCACTCAATAAGTTTCGTCTTTTTACCCTGAATTTCAAATCGATTTCTCTAAAAGCTAAAACCGTTTATCATTTGGATTCCTCGTGTAATATGGATCACTTCACTTTGATGCTGTAGTATGCCTGCGCCTTCGACCTATCCTGGTGCTCTTCAGCGTTCTTAGTGAATCAGTATTTTGCGTGGACGTCACTTTTTCTCTCAAACTTTTCACTACCGACACGCGGTGTTTCTATAGCTCTCTTTTTCGTTCAAACCTGAAGCATTTGCAGACCATTTTCGCTATTGCTACCGGTGATAAAAACCTTCGCTTATTGTAATAGTCTGCTATTAGCGGATTTGGGTTTCCTGGAGAAGCCACAGATGTCACACGTCTGATTAGTTGTCCGCTTCCTGTACAGGTGCCACGAAAAGTAGGCGTCATGATGCTCTCCAACCCTCATCCTCTTCCAGCTCATTCATCTTCCCGTTGAATCCCAATTTCCATTAACCTTCATATTCATGGCAGAAGTCTACTGTTGTAAACCGAGTCTATCCAACGATGGACTCTGGTTGTCCACTTCATCAGAGGCTAGGCATGCACCCGTGAGCACCTAGCCTACCCACATCTGTCGGTGTCAATACTTAGGATTCGGTATACTCTCAGTACCTATAGTTTGATCCTTAAATCGCTTGCAATAGTGCTCACTGGGCTCTACTTTTAACGTGAACAGCTGTAGTATTTCCGCTGTGGTACGTGCAAACCACTAGTAACCGTAAGGGTCATAATGCATGTGCCCGGAAACTGTAGCATGTGTACCGAAGATAATAAGAGTTGGATACTGTCGGATGAGCTAATCGTGGTACCGCTCAGAGATTTCGTTTCACAGCTATCCATTGCCATGGAGTGTTAGGAACCGTACGATGAACGCGTTTGTGCAGTCAGAGACAATGATGATGTTACCAACATTATTGGCTCTTACTCTTTACGGTCAACTTAAACCCTGCGTCATCGTGATCGCTCACACGCAGTGGCAGCCTTGAGGAGGAAGCTGAAGAACATTGGTCTATACATTCCGGAACTTATAGAAACACAGGCTTTACTGAACCAATGGTTACGTTTATCGGAGCACAATGTCCGTATTACGGAGGCATCCTATGGGCTGTGGATGAAGCGCCGTGCTGCGTACAGATCAGGAACAAGAAGAGGATAGGTGATAGGATCTCAGACAACTACCGTACGTTTGGCTCATTGGTACCAGTTCCAGAGACCGTCAAACAACTGAATCAAGGTTATACCAGCGTTTTGGACAAGCGTCTTAAAGCCCCTTCCAGTGGAAGCTCAAGTTGGAGCGAGGGAACTTGAGGAATCATTGAGGTTTCGGGACCAGTCCTTCACTAGCAGTGGGCGCATTCTTTGGCCAGCCAGCGAGCGCACTTTTAAGCATGTAGTAACTACTGGAACCAAGTAACTTTCAGGCAAGTTGTTCTCTTATGACCCTGTTTTTGCCTTTACATACTGTTTTATCGGAAGCTCGATCGACGTTTTGCTAAAGGCCTTTCTTTTCTAATCTGGGAAGTTGACTGCTTCAGATTGCGCATCAACTGCAGGTTGCTCGTACGGCCAGCGGAAACCACAACACTTATGGGTATGGATTCTCAGATAACGAGAAAGGGTTGCTTTGTGCCATCAACTATTTCTGTTTGCTATGATTTCACACTGATGGGAAGTCTGGGAACAAAGCGCCGTTATAAGTGCAGAAGAAATCATTCCTCCGTACTTTTGCTATCATTGTCCGCCACATGATGATCTCGCCCGGATCTGCTGGATGTAAGAAACATCGGTCCATCTGCTGACGATTGGCGATCTTTTCGTCTGTTATTGTGCTTGACTAGTGTTCAGCATATGCCGCAGCGTGCAGTGAGATATAATGGGGACGTGTATTCCCGTTCTATTAGGCGGCCAAATAGAGCGAACCTCCTGCACGGCGTTTCGATACTAAGCCTTGCCGATAGCGTGAACCGACTGCACTTTGTACGCGCGAAGAGCCGACCGAATAGGGAACATACCTGCAATGGGAGTGGCTGGCAAACTCGGTTCGGCATCGACTGTGTGAACGAGGGCTGTGCCCTGACGAGAACATGCGGCCAGATATGGTAAATCACTCACGCGAAACGCGTTTACATTGCTTGAGTCTGGGACACCGAAAACGCGGGGATCAAAGTTTCCATAAATAGAACTGTCCTTTCCGTAGGAGATACACCGTCTACTGAGGCTTGGCTTTTGGTTTCCCGGTTGGATTGGACGCCAGACAGAGCAGATCGTAAACAGCAGTAACGCAAGCAAAGCGGTACAACACGTTTTTCGATTAATGGATTCTGAAGACAGCAGATCTACTCCTGCAGGCACTCCAAAAATGGTCTTGAACAAGCTGATGGACCGTTCGAGCGTTTCTAATTGTTCTGCGGAAATCACGAACCATGACAATTGACTGATCAGTGCCCAATCCGTTTGTGTCACATAGCAGTCGTGCAACTTAAGAAGTGTGTGACAGTCCTTCCCATTGCTGGATAACCCTTGACATTCTAAATGATATGTTGCTGTATAATTTACTGGAAATGCCCTGTTTTCTCTTGGTTGCCATTTGTACCATTGAAAAGGCGCCAGATCAGGGGATGCTTCTTAGTGAACACCAAACCAGCACTCAGCTGTACCGTACACGTGAGATAATAATAAGACCCAGTATCTTGTAATTTCCTTCGTGTTAGACATGTTTCACAGAAAATTTCCAGTTCATTGTGGGATTTGCGCAAAATGCAGGTTGAAGGATCATTTTGCAAACATCATAAACATCCCGCAGTCATACTCCTGAGGTGGGCTGCGTGTGGTTGTCGTAGGAAGTATACTTACTGTGGTAATCGTTAAAGGCAAGATACACGACGCTTAGGACCAGCTATCCATGTTATACTATCCCGCTGCGTGGAAGCATAGAGGGTAAGACACTCGGAGTCACACCACAGGAGGTAAAGCGGAGCGAACACCGCAATCAAAAGATATGCCAGTATGCACACCCGCAACCCGTACGACAGTTGAGCTTATGTAATTGTTTTCGTTTTACTCGATTAAACCACAATAAGATGGGATTTTGTACGATTTTTTATTTTTGTCGCTTCGTTTGGGTTGTCTAGGAAGGGAACAGTCACAGTTCCCTTTGAGTTAAAATACGTTACGTCGAGTAGAGGTAACCGTAAATTGGCACTTTCAGTGTGTACGCGCCATTACGGCTCACCTGACTTGTAAGGAAGAACCCCCTATTCGTCAACGTTCACTGTGTTTCTGTAACAGGTTTCCATTACGGTAACACTGAACTCATGCGACCACCTTCTGGGTTGCCAATTACGGTGGACCTTCCCGTCGGGTACTCATGCATGGGACTTGATTGTGAGCACAAATGCAGAGCCTGTGCTCTCTGCCGGACCACAACTAATAGCCGTCCACTTTTCCTAACAACCGGCCCAACTGGCCCCCAGTGTAACATGGTTGGCGGCATCCGATTCCGGATTTGCCTGTCACTGCGGCCTCCATAGGACAACCACAGGACGCCTGCGTCTACAGAGATCAAGAGTGGCTTGCGCGGCACCACCCACGGCTCCATCCACACACCCCATCTCCAGTGTGAACCCGAAGGAATAAGACCGGGAGGCATGTGGATGAGAGCCACATTCCATCAACGGAACCGGCATGCATTGTTGTCATGTTATAAATAAATAAATAGTATATTTCCAACGACGCGTGGCATGTCTAAATAGGCACGATCATAGTAATGCCAACATGGATGCTAAGGGACCCTGCCAGAATCTGCAGGTTTAAGATGTCGGAGACAATGCAAAGTCTTCTGCTGAAATTGCAGAAGCGCCTGGGGTGGAACTGTCCTCAGTTCTTACAACGCTGTCGATTATGTAGAGAATCTTGCTTGTCGGCCTATAACTGTTCAAAATCTTCCCGTTATTCCGCCCCTGGGAAAATTTTCTTTTGTCATTCACTACCCCAGATGGTCGAACCAGACTACAGCTAAATTTTCCAGAGGCCATGCGAAAAAACATTTTGCTGGGATTACTTGCGGAGGAAATCTTCAGCATTGTAGCCTCCAGCAAAATATTGGAGAAAAAGGTCAACACAGCCCATCTTTAAGGAGCTCAAGCGACTCCTGGATTTATCATTACTTCCCACGCGATGGCATCAGGCATTCCACTCTCGGCCGGTGGCCGATTGGTCTGCACGTTTGCTTTGCAATCATAAGATCACCGGTTCGAATCCGCGTAGGGGTGGGCGTCCTCGCGGTATACTCAGCCCGCGCGCGACTGGTGGTGGTCGTGCGGCAGCGAAGCGCCGTTACGGCGTACAGCTGACACATTATTATTATTATTATTATTTATTCCACTCTCGTTGCCAACTACCAAACGAGAACCTGGGAGTTTTCTCTCGGAATCCAAAACACCCTGCTGAGCGCGAGGTAGCGGACGAAAATCGAGTGGCGCAGAAGTAACGTATTCTGGAATATCTG